GTCACAGTATTTCATTTATACTCTTCCAGGCAAAATCCTCGCCTCCTGCAGATGCCTGCAGTTGGTTCAAGGAGGAACAGGCCACGTTGCATCTTGAGAAATAACTTCACAGTGCTGCCCTTTGCGCTGCAGACTTCCCTCCATGCATCCATTCTCATTGCTGAGCCCCTGCCATGCACATCCCCATTTACCAATCAGGTTAGCTGAAGTTCTGTTTCTCAGATGACTGTACATGAACTTTTTTTTTCTTTCCCCCCTCCCCCCATCCTCTCAAGGTTTCATGGTGGACAGAGCAGTTGGCTGAACAGAGACAAGTTCTCAGCACTACATTAAAATGTGTTAGACCAGGAAAGACAAATATTTGCGTTTTGGCTCTATCACCTTGGAGATAGGGGGAGAAATAATAAAAGGGAGAAATTTTTTTTTAAAAAAAAAGAAAGAAAAGAAAAGAAAAAAACCCATACATCTGAATTCCTTTCTCTGGATGGGAACAGGCAGAAAGAGCTGGTTCCAAACTCTCACAGCTGAGCAGGACCAACATGGCTGCAAACATTAAGCAAAATAAACTGAGCTCTTGTTGACATGAAAGAGTCCTTGGATTGATTATTAAGCCTGCATTTCCCACAGAGATTACACATCAGCTTAAGACTGACTGCACAGCTGTGAATTTATGGGCAGGCGGGAGGCTGCAACAAGTTTCTGCTGCAAGCAAAGGTTTTTGAGAACACCGGATTCCTTCCCACCACCTCACACTATGCAACACTTCTGGATCATGCCTGGGCTTTGCCACATTCCTCAAGGCACCCGCACACAAACTGTTCCATGCAGCACCTTTGGGAATTTTCTGTCCACGTTGCACCAGCACCTGATCGTGGGCCTGGTGAGGCACTGAGCCAAACCAGTGGGCAGGGAACACGGACAGCAAGCAAACACAGCCTGCTGGTTACAGAGGGAGGTCTCAGGCCAGGATACATGCACAGAAGGCTTTGAACTGCTGCATTCTGCTGGTACAGAAGGAAGTAGTGCTCTGCTTTTGATACAGATCGTGGAACTAAGTTGAGTAGGGTTCAGCCAGGAAGGCAAGACAACTGAGGTGGTGAATGAAGCACGTACCTGTAAGTGTCCCACTTGTCTGCTCTTCTCACAGCCAGCCCAACAGAGGGAAATAGAGACCCCAGCAGAAAATAACTACAGGTGTGACTGCAGATCCAGAACCTCCTTCCTGCTCCCTTGCAAGATCTGAGCATTACTACTCCCGAAGGCAAAAACATGTGGAGCACAAAGACGACTCTGGATATTTCAGTCATATTCATGTAATTGTTCCAGGATGAATACTTTCATTTGGAAGTTCTACTTGGTGTAAATATGCTCAGTGCAGATTTATGGTCTGACACAGACATTCTCATGAGTTCACTTGTTTGCAAAACTATCTGTGAGCATAAATGGAAGAAAGACAAATAGTAAACATGCTAATATTTATTATTTTCCTTTTTTTTTTTTTAAATAATATTCTCAAACCAATGTTACTAGGGAAACTCTAGGACAAGCAGAAGAAAAAAAAAAAAACCAACTAGCAGTTGCCATGCTGTGTGAAATAGCTACCTACTTCAGATTACCCTTAGATTTCAGGGAGGAGAAAGAAAGAAATCCTTCTTTGAGCAAACTATTCTCTAATAAACAGCATCTTCCCAGCCCACAGAAGCTGAAACTCGGAGCTAGAACAACCCTTTAAACAAAGGGGATTTATAACCTTTCTCAATCTGCCCCCAGCACAAACTCAGTGGTAACTGCAGATTACCATCACAGTACAAACATCTTGTTCTGATCCTAAATTCACTACCTCAGTCACACTGATATGGATTATATCTCCTCCATGTTTCTTCTTATTTAACCACTCTAATTTGTTCTAAGCCTCATTGGAATAGCTTTTTTCTACATCCAAACAAAAACATCAGCATAGATAGAGCTAAGAGGGCTGTTCATGAAATCCTCCGTGTTTCTATAAGAGCACACAGCAGGAAATAATGTTCACTTATGCAAGCATGCTAAACTGTATTCTCCAACTGAGCAGATGGCAGACCCCTGCAATACAGCTTTTACAGACTGCACTTTCATTCCCTGAATATCCCCTGAAATAGCAGATGAGGTCTGCATGGGAAAAGAAATACCTTCCTACCCAACAAGTTCTGTACAAGTTATCTAAGGACATTTCAGCCTTCACTTACAGAGCAAATGTTTGTGTTATAAATCATTACACTGTTCTTGGAAGGAATTCAAACCAGGAGATGAGTTTTGATTAAGTTACTCTTTTTCAGAGCTTTTTTTTTTTTTTTTTAATCTAAACACCAGGGAAATAGAGATGAAAAAAACCCGATCCACATTGATTCTAAGTAACAGAACAGCACTACGAAAGAAAAAAATAATAATTTAAAGACTGAAAGACTTGAGTCATCCCGTTTTTGCCAGAGCTAGAGCCTTAAAGACCAGGTTTTCTGCTGCAGAAAACAGTCAAGCTTGCATTTTCAGCAGATTCCTGCATCATTTCTCCCAGTTTACTTTTGCAGATTTTTGTAAGCAAGAGCTTTTGGCATGACTCCATACAGAGAGAGACCCCAGTGGAAAGTAATCCCTGTCCTGGGGTGGAACAGAGATTGTTTGTTTTCTTTCATGCAAACAAGTTACACAGCAAAAATTGTTTCAAAGGGATTCTGTCAAACCTCGCTAGGTTTCAGACACCACAAATTGTAATTCTTTGATTTTCTTGGTTTTAGGTGCCTTGTTTATGCCTCACAAGCATTTAATTTAACATTAGGCTCCAAAAAACGGTGAGCTGAGGTTCTTCCAGTATCCTACAGTGTGAACATGGTAGATGCAGCAACCAAAATGCAACAGTGCTCATATCCTGGGTAACCTGAAAAACAGGAGCTCTGTTGGCCTTTAGAGATCTCTTTCTCACTCAAAAGCTTGCAGTCTTCCCAGTTTATTTGATTTTTACCTGCATCTCAAGAGCTTCCACTCAGCATTAGGGAAAAGACAGCACCTAACCTATTCCCCTCCCTATAGCCCAGGTTCTGTCTCCGAACAGGAAACTAAAGTTTTACTGCATGCATAGTAGAGCTGTGGGTTGAAACTTGGGCTGTAGCCAAGACTAACATCGCAAAGAAGACAAGCAGCAATGCAAGAGAATACTTCAAGCCCAAATAGTCCTACACATGCAGCCTAAAAGCAGCTCAGAACCTGCACCAGGATTCTACCAGAAGATCACAGAACTTAAGGCATCCACTTGGAAAGAATTCTGTCCTTCTTGCTGGTGTTGCTTCCCATTTTGTGTTGGGTTGGTCAACTTTTTCCCTATCCGCAGTCATGAAAGAAGGAAGGTTAATGATTGTTAGCATGTCTCACAGCAACATACAGCTCCTCTCCCTCATTCACTGAGAGGTTCTAATTCAGCACCCGAGACAGACTCTACATAATAAAGAATCATTCCAGCACATCCTCACGTGGCATAACTGTTAAGCAGAGAAGCCACAGCTGAGCTTGTTGCCAACGGCAGCTTACAGCAAGGCTGGGCCATATGGGAACCAAGGCTGGGGCTCTGTTCCTACTCCTGGCAAGGGAGGAGTAGGAAAAAAATATCACCCACTCATTCCCTTAGAATAGGTACAGCCTACTGCTCAGCTTTTGGGCTCATCACAGCCAAGATGCAACGGATGAATGTCCGTGCGCTCTATCTAGATTGCAGCAGTTTTGCCTAAAAAAGGAGAGCTGGAAACTTGTTCTCTCAAGAGATTCTTGGTTTTCTAAACGCAGGTATCCACCTAAAGATGCCCTCAGCTGACTGGCCAACTAGGAAACTGCATTGTCTCTAACAGTCTTCTTCCTCAAGATGCTCCCCTACATCACTTCAGATCTGGTACAGGAATTACCCATACCTGCAGTAAGAGCGCTGTTTGCGTTTCCAGCAAGTTATCCAGCAGTAACTGTCAGAGTTTACAGCAGTGGAGGGAACAGCTCACCTTGAATTCTCTCAGTGCTCCAACCCTTCTTTGGGTTTTTGGAAGCCTTTGTATTATCGCAATTGTAAAACTAAGCAGGTTGTCTCACTTGTTACATAAATCCTTCTCTAGTCAACAGCAAACCCAGCAGAAAACCTCTGCAGCTGTTTTTCACCTTTCCAGGCATGCACACTGCACAGATAGCTTCAGCATATCAATCCTCATCCCCCTCAAGAAGGCACATGTTGAATACACGGAATTTGAGATGCTCCTGAGTGTACACTTTCATTTCTTCCTATCTTGGATGTCTCCAGTTTAAACAAACCTAAGATAAACACACTTGCCCAACTAGTTGTCCGCTATTATAGAGTCTTTCCTGTTAGAGCATGGGCACATAGTGGCAGGAACAACAGCTGGTTTTATTATTATTATTACACTTGCAGTTAAACATTAAATGAACAGCTGTGCAGAGGCAAAATTTTCACAGTGTAGCTAGGAGGAAGAAAAGAACTAGAAAAGCAATTAAAAGACCCCATAATAAATGAAGACTTTCCATCAGGGCAGAGTGAGGAAGGACACATCCCTGTTCACAGGCCAATGCTAGGAGTCTCTTGCAGCAGAGTTGGCTGTGCTCTTCCTCTTTCAGTGCAGCCTTACTCATACAGCTCCACTTCAGGAATTAAGGCCTAAACCACAGCTGCCAAGTAAAGAAAAGCTTGACAGCTCTCCTAATTCTAGTCACAAGGTAAAGTATACCTGCACAGCACCTAGGAGGTTCTTACAATTCATACATGCATAAGTTCCATCAAGGTGACAAGGTCAGCATATAAATACCCTGATTCTCATTTTTCACACTCAGAGAAGGAGACGCACAGAAGGAAGTTACTTGCCTGCCTCAAAACAAGCCTTCTCTGGAGCACTGAGCAGCACATTACTCACGAGTAGTTGTATACAAAGTGAACAATGTGACAGGATTTACTTTTCCCCCTCTCTACTGCACCATACCTGCATCCCAGGAATAAGGAGAACCACGTTGATAAAGAACATCCTTTGAGATCAGGCAAGCACAACTTCTCAGAAAGTGACAGGTCTCTGAAACGCTGAAACAGGAGCAGTGGTCTTGTTTCCTCCTTTCCTTCATCCATTGTTCAAGCATTGCTCTATCCACCTGTATTTTCAGACATGCCTTGGCAGCTACAGCACGTGAGCAGAGCATTTGGAACGGACTTATGGGACACAAACCAGCCCTCATGACCTGTCCTTGGCTCAAAGTTGTCCCCTGCCTTGAAGGCCTGCCCTCACAAGAGAGAGCAGCAGAGGGGAACAGCAGAACCCACAGCATCAGCAAAACAAATCCCCATTTCAAAGCCAGGTCTGTCTTTGTTTCAGAGGGAAAGCAATTAAACTCAAGCACTGCAGCCCTTATGCACGAAACAACACTCTTTTCATTCAATTAAATTTCCTGTAACTAAGGTTAATGTTCCATGTGGTATCTGCCTCAAGGTATAAGAGGCTTCTGGATGAATTGCCAATAGCACAGTGACAGGAGGAGCCTGAAAGGATCAGGAAGAGCAGAGACCTTGCAAGAGGCAGGCAGCTAGTTAACAATGCCTCTACTTGCTAAAAGTTGGAGGGTAAAGACTGCAGTGGAAGGGAAGGACCACTACACTGAGGTTTTTGTAGGATTTGTCAACCTCCAGAAGGAACAAGTACTGAGTGGGCTGCACAGCCCTAAGTACCTTCACAACTCTTGCACAAGAGCACAATTCCTGATTAAACTCAGGATTTCCACCATTCAGCTTCCAAACTTTGAGCAATCACCACCAGCAAGATGCAGGAGCACCAAGAGAGACCTGCCTCCAGCTCCGAACAGGTCAGATTTGCCTCACATTGGTTCAGGGCCATAGCTGCACACTGCTGCTGGCTATCCTGATTAAGCCAGGCACCCTCCTGCAGGCTTCCACTGGTTCAGCTCAAGAGCAATGTTTGCAGGTCTTCTCACTAAGTTAGGCAACCCTTACTAAAAAGCCTCTTAGGACAGCCCACTGTTAAGTGGTTCTTCCTCTCAAACTAGCAGGAACTGCTGCATGATCCTCTTTGAACACATCCACAGCAGTGTTGAACAGCTCTGCATTAAAGAAAACATCAGGCCTCAGGCCTGATGCTTCCTTTCTTAGATATCTCAGTATCACTGTGGAGATTTCAGAGTCCAGCATACAGGAACATGGAGATTTAGTGCCCTGAAATTTCCACTTAAATGGGGCAATGGTTGTTGTATGCTGTCTCTGTTAACAAGCCCCAGACATTATCTGGTCTGCTAACAGGTCTTAGTAGTAGCACCCGTAACAGTGGAAAACACTAACATAGTTCACACCATGAGCTTCTACAGGAGGGCTCATGCTCAAAGCCAGCATTTGGTCATTTGTGTCCTGTGGTGAGACTCAATGGTTAAGTAAAGCAGGGCTGGATCTCTTGCATCAGTCCCGAAACAAAATGCCTGCTCCATAAATACCAGGTGCATTTTATTACACGGTAACATACAGAGGACAGGTCTTTAAATGAATCTATGGTCTTGCAGAGTAAAGCAAAGCCTTATCAGAAGCACACACCCCTCCCCCCAAACCCTCTCCCCCTCCTTATCATGTTCTCTACCAACTCCTTTCATGCTAAATAAATAAATAAATAAATAAATAAATTTAAAAAATATTTATCAGAAAGTATGGATAAAGGGATGTTTTCCATTTTACACAACAAGGGCAGGAGGGCAGGTTAACTTGTATGGCTCACTATCTTTTGGATAAAAATCAAAGCATTTTACCCAGTCATTAGTGCCCAATCCCAAGGGGGCAGAGTTTCCAAGGTACCCCTTGGCTACTTAATATAAACACAAAATGTAAAAAGAAGAAAAAAAAAAAATGGAGGCGGGGGAAGAAGTAGAGAGCTGCAATATCTAGGCACACACGAGTGCCATGCTTTCTTCCCCCCACAGCAAGCAGGGGTGCAAGTAGCAGCGCAAGCAGTAGCAGCGTAAGCAGCAGTGCCTCCAGCAGCAGTGCCTCCAGCAGCAGTGCCTCCAG